CAAAAATGCACATTTCGGGTGGGGGGGAGTGTACATAAAATGAGTATATTTAAATATGCAAATGTATCAAATGAGGGGAAATTACTTGCAAAAATGTGTTCATTGCATTGTTTAGTGCCCACTTCCCCAACATACACATTTCCGCTCATTTCAAATTTTCACTGATGTTTTTGTTATTGTGGCAACTTTTCAAAATCCTCAAAATGATTCAAAGCTTATCAAACTGATGTGGGAAATGTGGAGAAAGGAAGTCATTTTATTCATTTATTCATTTCGCAAAATTAATAAACCACTTGACTGTAAAAAAAAACCTCAGAGCAGTTAAAAAAAGACTAAAGTGAGAAGATTATCAATGGAACCAATCGAAAGATGAAAAAGAACAATAGAGGGAAAACACAACAGCATTCCAGATACCTCGGCAGGGTTGCTAAACAAAAATGTTTTAAGTAAGAGATGAAAAGAGCACAGTTATGAAAAGACGCATGCCTGAATTCAAGAGGCAGGGAGTTCCATAGATGCTGCAACATAAAAAGATTGATTTCTTACAAGTTCTGCATGCGTAAAAGGACTGGTTGCACCAGCTGAGGTGGTAGAGAGGGTGAATATGGGATTAGTCCATCTCACAGGTTGACTGTTCCCAAGTTATCAAGGGCTTTGTGTACTAGAACTATACCAGTATCCTTGCCTTCCGTGGAGGTTTTTAAACAGAGTTTGGATGGCCATCGGTCATGGATGCTTTAGCTGAGATTCCTGCTTTGAAGGGGGTTGGTCTGGATGACCCTCGGGTCCCTTTCAACTCTACAATCCTACAAACACTTTGACCTATCCTATGTGGTGGACCTGTAAAAGGGTAAAAGAGTACTGGGAAATAATTCATAATGAATTGGAAAAAATGTTTTAAAGTACTTTTCCAAAAAAACAACAACAGAGTCCTTTTTGTTGGGGATAATTCAGATGGAAATCCCCATGTGTCAAAAAAGGTTATTTATGTGTGCCACTACTGCAGCCCGTGTTTTGTTAGCCCAAAAATGGAAAACGAGCGAGGTCTCAGCCAAAGAAGAATGGCAACTTAAGCTGATGGAATATGCGCAGCTTGCGGACCTAACAAATAGAATAAGAGAACAAGAAGAACATAGGTTTAAAGAAGATTGGAAAATGTTTACTGAATATATGAGGGAGAATTGTGTATGCTTGAAAACATCGGCAGCATTAAGATAAATTCAACAGCGTAAATAAGTTTTGATGGATGTAATAATGGAATGCTGAATGGTTTAATTTATGTAAAATATGCAGGGATTTATGTTATGCAAAATGGAAAGAGAATAAGGGAAGTCATTGATATTTCAAGGTTGTTTAAATGAATATTCTAAAATGTAAAACAGAAAAATTATTATCGAAGAAGAAGAAAGCACTTTGAACCTGGCCTGGCAGCAAATCGGCAATCATTTGCAGATCTCTGCTTTATCGAACTTCAGCTCAGGAAGAAATGATGAATTGAGAAGAATTCAACTCTGCAGATCTTCCCAGCTCTCCTCCGGGGTGAGTATTTGGAGTTCCAGCCTGCAGCAGCAAAACGCAGAAGAGATCCACTGATCTTCCTCACCCACCTGGTTGCATTCGGAGTGCGTGGAGCAGATCCGGCCCGATCCCTTGCAAGCGTCGAATCGACAGTGCCCGTCTTGTAAATAAGAGGCCTTCAACTCCGCCAGGAATTCCAGACCCTGGAGCGCCCAGAGGTGGTGAACGGGTTAAGGCCAGGCCATCTGGAGAAACCTGAGACCTCAGCTGTTCCTCCATTGACATCTTCTTGGGTCAGATTCGTCTCCTGCGCACCAAGAGTCGACGCTTGGAGGTCCGCATTGCGGCCGAGGAGCGGGGAGGGCTCTCTGTTCTGCAGCAACAGGGACAATGGTCAGCCCACCTCGATGGCAAGCTTGCGGGTTTAGCATATAGAATAAGAGAACAAGAAGAACATATGTTTAAAGAAGATTTGAAAACCTTTATTGAATATATGGAGGGAAATTGTGCACACTTGAAAACGTGGTCAGCATTAAGATAAATGCAACAGTGCAAACAAGTATTGATAGATGTACTAATGCCATAAGTTTTGTCAGAAGTCTGTTTTATTTAAGTGTTTATTTAAGTATTAATTAGGAAGATTAAGTTTTTTATGCATGTAAATCTGCTTTTTCTTCTTTCTTTTTTCTGTATTTTCTTCTTTTCTTTTTTCTTACTTTTTTTCTTTAATTTTCTTTTTGTAGTAGGAGATTGTAAATTCTTTGTAAATTCTTTGTATATGTGTGTAATTTAAATTAATAAAGATTATTTTTTTAAAATGTAATACCGTGGTACCTCGGGTTAAGTACTTAATTCGTTCTGGAGGTCTGTACTTAACCTGAAACTGTTCTTAACCTGAAGCACCACTTTAGCTAATGCGGCCTCCTGCTGCCGCTGCACCGCTGGAGCATGATTTCTGTTCTCATCCTGAAGCAAAGTTCTTAACCCGAGGTAATATTTCTGGGTTAGCGGAGTCTGTAACCTGAAGCGTATGTGTCAGAGCTGCTTCCAGATCCTAGCTCACAGAGGATCACGCTAGCCAGCGATCATTAAACAAAAGTCTTTATTGAGTTACAGTTTCCATTCTCAAACTGCTGCGTGCAACTCTACGTCTCATGGTTAGACCGGCGAAGCTCCGTCTGAGTCTCCGCCCCTTGTACACCAACTTAATATCCTAGCCCTGCTCCACCTTTTCCGCCTGACTGTTCTTCTCTGGGTCCCTCTGCCCCCTGGGGTCTCTTCTTTCCGGGATTCCTCTGACGCTGACGCTGACCCCCCTGACTCTTCTCCCTCCTTTCGGCGGGCTTTAGGACCTGGCTCCCTTTCCGGGCTGCCTACTGTGCCACCTTCCTGTGCATTTGAACTTGGCGCGCGCGCCCAACCTTCCACCTTCCGTCTGACCGTTTCTTCGCTCCCCGATGGAGGTGTGGCCACTCCTGACTCGTGCCCTCCCCCCTGTGGTGAGCTGCCAGCGCTTGCTCCCTGGCTCCCGTCCTCTTCCCTGCTCTCTGGCGGTGACGCTGGTCCCGATTTCCAACTGCTCCCTCTGAGTCCCCTCTGGCTCTATCTTCCTGGGGCGTCCCCTAGGCTCCCCCTTGCCCTGGCCACTGGTGCTCCTTTCTGTGAATCTTCTGATTCACTGGAAAGACTCGGAGATCTCGGGTCATCGTCATCACTCATCTTTTCTTCTGCCTCCTCCCCCTCGCTCTCTGTTTCCTCCCTTGCCCTTGCCTCTGCTCCTGAACCCCTGACAGTATGTAACCCGAGGTACCACAGTAATGCAGGCATGTCCAACAGGTCAATCGCGGGATGTCCCTGGTCGATCCTGGTCGATCGCGGGATCCTGGCGCCCCCCCCCAAAAAAAGATCAACAACATCTTTGGCTCACCCTCCCCGCCAAAAGCCATCTCTTGGAAGTTGGACGTGCCTGTAATAATGGAATACTGAATGGTTTAGTTTATGTGAAATATGCAGGGATTTATGACATGCGAAAAGAACCATGGAAACATGTTAAGGTTGTTTAAATGAATATTCTAAATTGTAAAGCAGAAAAAAATAATAAAAATTACCATATTTTTTGCTGTATAAGACTCACCTTTTCCCTCCTAAAAAGTAAGGGGAAATGTGTGTGCGTCTTATGGAGCGAATGCAGGCTGCGCAGCTATCCCAGAAGCCAGAACAGCAAGAGGGATTGCTGCTTTCACTGCGAAGCGATCCCTCTTGCTGTTCTGGCTTCTGAGATTCAGAATATTTTTTTTCTTGTTTTCCTCCTCCCAAAACTAGGTGTGTCTTGTGGTCTGGTGCGTCTTATAGAGCGAAAAATACGGTATACACGAAACAGCAACAACAAACCCCACCTTGATGGCAGAGGCAGAGAAAAGAGATAAACTATCCTGCCCGCTGCTTTCCCTTCTTCCTACCCTTGAGATCTCCACATCCATCTCCACCTGCTGTGGGTCTTCTCAATACATTCTTGCGCCAGGTTCAGCCAGCGGGTACCAATGCACATCCCATTGAAATGCCTCCAGAGGCCACCCGAGGGCCAAGTGGCAGGGAGATATTTGGTCCATCTGGCGATAAGGACGAAAGCATTTTAGAAATACCCACCCAGGCAGCTTTCATATACAGCGCTGCCTTGTGTTTTGCATAGCCCAGCAGAGAGTATTTAACTGCCCCCCCCCCCACGGCCCTGGAAGAAGGGGGGGGGGATACCTGACCGCCATCATTCTGCCGGCTTGGAATCTGCAGATTTATCCAGCAAGTGTTTCGTTCCAGTGCCTGGGCTTCATATATTTATTTCATGTATTTATTCATTTTATATACTCAGTGCTTTCTTTGGGGGGGGGGGGAATGCAGGGGCTCATATACCCCTAAACATTTTGTGAAAGTTTGGCCTCAATGAAGAGCAGTATTTCAATATAAGTAGGAAAATGAGAGTACAGTGGTACCTCGGGTTACATACGCTTCAGGTTACATACGCTTCAGGTTACATATGCTTCAGGTTACAGACTCCGCTAACCCAGATATAGTGCTTCAGGTTAAGAACTTTACTTCAGGATGAGAACAGAAATTGTGCTCCGGCGGCACAGCAGCACTGGGAGGCCCCATTAGCTAAAGTGGTACCTCAGGTTAAGTACGGACCTCCAGAATGAATTAAGTACTTAACCCGAGGTACCACTGTAACCCTAAACATTATTTTTTAGAAGAGGAAAAAAGCACTGTATATACTGTCCTTTATACAAAGATCCCAGGGAGTGTACAACATTAAGAACATAATTTATGGAGCAAAATAATAAAAACATAATTCGGAGCATAATAGTGGACAGCTTAATAATAAAATAATTATAATAACAATCCTCCCCCCATACACATTCCACAGAATTGTAGAATTGAAGGGAACATGAGGGTCATTTAATCCAACCCCCTTCAATGCAGGAATCTTTTGCCCAATGTGGGGATCGAACCCACAACTCTGAGGTCAAGAGTCTCAGGCTGTACAAACTGAGCTATCTCAAGCCCTAGATTATTTAAAGGCTGAAGACCTGGGTAAAGAGGAATGTTTTTGCCTGGTGCCTTGTTGTTGTTGTTTAGTCATTTAGTCGTGTCCGACTCTTCGTGACCCCCTGGACCAGAGCACGCCAGGCCCTCCTGTCTTCCACTGCCTCCCGCAGTTTGGTCAAACTCATGTTCGTAGCTTCAAGAACACTGTCCCACCATCTTGTCCTCTGTCGTCCCCTTCTCCTTGTGCCCTCCATCTTTCCCAACATCAGGGTCTTTTCCAGGGAGTCTTCTCTTCTCCTGAGGTGGCCAAAGTCTTGGAGCCTCAGCTTCAGGATCTGTCCTTCCAGTGAGCACTCAGGGCTGATTTCCTTAAGAATGGATACGTTTGATCTTCTTGCAGTCCATGGGACTCTCAAGAGTCTCCTCCAGCCCCAGAATTCAAGAGCATCCATTCTTTGACGATCAGCCCTCTTGATGGTTCAGCTCTCACTTCCATACATCACTACTGGGAAAACCATGGCTTTAACTATATGGACCTTTGTTGGCAAGGTGATGTCTCTGCTTTTTAGGATGCTGTCTAGGTTTGTCATTGCTTTTCTCCCAAGAAGCAGGCGTCTTTTAATTTCGTGACTGCTGTCACCATCTGCAGTGATCATGGAGCCCAAGAAAGTAAAATCACCTGGTGCCTAAAGACATGTATTGATGGCGCCAAGCAAGTCTCTCTCTCTCGATTCTTTTATTAAATGAGGATGGCCGAACATTGCACTTTTCTTGCAAAAGCACTAATAGTAGCACGAGCCTGTATAGAAATGCCTATTTCATTTCTTTATCACATTTAGACCCCATGTTTCCTCTGAGGAGCTCAAGGGGTGTACACAGTTCCCTGCCTCCCGCCTTTCACAACAACCCTGTGAGGTAGGCAAGGCGACTGGCAGCCAAGGTCACCCAGTGAGTTTCGTGGCTGAGCAAGGATCTGAACCCTGGTCTCTCCCAGGCCTTTAGTCTAACCACTAGGCCACACTGGCTCTTGAAAGGTGAAAAAATCCCATTTCAAAAATGCAAAAATCCAGATAGGATTGCTCCTGCACAGAAGCAAATGTCTTGAGGTTAATAGTTTTCATTCCCACCCCCCTGCAAATTTCAAAAAGGTAATTTCTGGCAGTCCAGAGTATAAAGATGTTGTTGTTGTTGTTGTTGTTGTTGTTGTTGTTGTTGTTGTTATATACACCCCTCACCTGAGAATCACATAACACTTTGTGATATAAAAACACAAAAATACATACCATAAACCCTTGACACACACACACAAAAGTACAACCCCCTTTTAGCGTAGGATGAAGGGCACTGGGAATGCATTTATGGAACCGAGGTGGGGAGGTGGTCCAAATATCTGGATATCTGGCTATCATGGGTATCTGGGCGCTCTACGGTTTGCAAAGAGAGCTCCGAGCAGACTTCTGTTTTGTTTTTTTAAAAAAGTAATAATTTAATTGTTTATTTACTTCTGGTTCTGGAGATCTGCCCCCCAAGGAGATCTTTCGCTTCACAGCTGGCACAAAGCTTCCTTCTTCTTCCTGCCCTTCCATTCATAGACCGGGAGAAGAATGCGAGAGCACCTGCCGCAAGCTGAAGGTTTGGCTCCCGGTGCCAAGAGAGATGGCAATGAACAGAAGTCGCCCGCTGCCAAGGGCGGAACAAAATGTACTCTGGTATTTTTAACCTGGGATTTATTTATTTTTTGATGCCTGAGGATTCAGCCCACTGGGGAGGGCAGGGGGGGCTTGTGGGACCTTTCAGGGACTTGTGCATTATGGCAGCATGGGGGGGGGGTTGGAAGGCGATGCCTTGGTCCCAAGACGGGCATTTCGGCACCCTCGCTTCAGAGGCCTCGTCTCCTGGACGAGGGGGACGTACAACGGAGACCCTTTCTTCGGGAAGAGCTGTAGACTGGACACAGTTTGCATGCTGAAGGACTCGGGTTTGATCCTGGCATCTGCAGGCAGGGTTGGGGAAGGTCCCTTGCCTGGAGCCATAGTGATGGTCATCAACTTGGAAGGCTTGAAAAGACAATTAGAACTATTCATGGAAGAGGAGAGGGCTATGTCTAGAAAGTGGGGGGGATGAGTGTTCAGACCCCTGGGCTCTCACTTGTGGGGTGCCTCGGGGCTCCGTCCTCTCCCCCATGCTTTTCAATATCTACATGAAGCCGCTGGGAGAGATTATCAGGGGGTTTGGGCTGGGTGTTCATCAGTATGCAGATGATACCCAGCTCTACCTCTCTTTCAAATCAGAACCAGTGAATGCAGTGAAGGTTCTGTGTGAGTGTCTGGAGACGGTTGGAGGATGGATGGCAGCTAACAGATTGAGGCTGAATCCTGACAAGACAGAAGTACTATTTTTGAGGGTCAGGGGATGAGCGGGTGTGGAGGACTCCCAGGTCCTGAATGGGGCAACTGTGCCCCTGAAGGACCAGGTACGCAACCTGGGGCTCATTTTGGACTCACAGCTGTCCATTAAGGCGCAGGTTAATTCTGTGTCCAGGGCAGCTGTCTACCAGCTCCATCTGGCACACAGGCTGAGATCCTCCCTGCCCACAGACTGTCTTGCCAGAGTGGTGCATGCTCTAGTTATCTCTCGCTTGGACTACTGCAATGCGCTCTTCATGGGGCTACCTTGGAAGGTGACCCGGAAAGTATAATTAATCCAGAATGCGGCAGCCAGACTGGTGACTGGGAGCGGCCACCGAGACCATGTAACACCGGTCTTGAAAGACCTACATTGGCTCCCAGTACATTTCCAAGCACAATTCAAAGTGTTGGTGCTGACCTTTAAAGCCCTAAACGGCCTCGGTCCAGTATACCTGAAGGAGCGGCTCCACCCCCATCATTCTACCCGGACACTGAGGTCCAGCTCCGAGGGCCTTCTGGCGGTTCCCTCCCTGCGAGAAGCGAGGTTACAGGGAACCAGACAGAGGGTCTTCTCGGTGGTGGCACCTGCCCTGTGGAACGCCCTCCCACCAGATGTCAAAGAGATAAACAACTACCTGACATTTAGAAGACATCTGAAGGCAGCCCTGTTCAGGGAAGTTTTAATGTGTTTTAAACACATTTTCTGAATAAGCTGGCTCTTGTTGCTTCCCTCGCTAAGAACTAGGACGGACAGTGTTCTACAACCCAAGGGATGCTCTTCTCCAGCATTCTGCAAATGTGGGGCCATGCCAGAAAAAGCCCTGTCTTCCAGCGAAACCCACCTGGCCTTCAGAAACTGTGGGGCTTCTGAAGATGACTTTAGCAAACTGGCAATGCTCTTCCTCACAGCAATAAAAACACTTGCCAGTCAAGGTCTATCCAGGTAATTATATCCATAATTCTTACATTTTGGTACCAAGCAGTACTTAAAAGCGCCCAATTATCCCATGACAGAGGCTGCAGTGGAAGCAGCTAATTACTCTGCTAAAAACTTTCTAGTTTCCATCTTGTATCAACAAGAGAGGAGCACGTCTGCCTGGAAGCCCCACAGACCGTTGCAAAGATGTTTGGAGGGACGCAAGAGGCTTATCACCTAAACAGAGCTCAGAAAGCCAGATTCTAAGCTTGTTTGGGGGGTGCAATTATGGGATTTGGGGGGGGGGGGAGAGAGAGCTGGAAGGCAGTACAACTTTCACATTTTCCCTGGGGCTAGCGGTGGGGAGGTTTTTGCCCATAGGAACAACATTTCTTGCATGAGTTTCCCACTTGCCTGCAGGATATTCCGGGTTCAATCCCTGATATATCCAGTTGAAAGGATGAGGCAGTGGGTTTGGGGAAAAACTTCACATAGCAGAGGGAGGACAGAAGAAATTCTATTTGGTTTGCATTCTGTTGCAAAACACACACACACAAACAAACAAATTTTGTACTTACTTCCTGAAACAATAGGCAAATCTAAGCACAACTTTCCGCTGAAATTCATGCTAATCTGAATTTTGTGAAGCAGTTCTCCCATCAAAAAATAGAACTTTCAAGAGCATAAGGAGGCCAGTGGCGCATCTAGTCTCAATTTCTGAGACCAAAGTCTACCTGATAAATCTGTTGTATGTATAAGATGAGATAATAGTTGCACATCAACCACGAAAAAGCGAAATACAGATCGCTCTCAGTGGCTTATCTCCTCTCCATCTAGAAGAAAACAAAACCTGCATTTATTTGTTTTATATTTGGTTTGCTGCTTCATTTAATAATTTGCAGTGCACGCTGGAAATGGAACTGTGTGCAAAACTGCAAAACCATGCTGTTGGAAAATCTGCGCAGTGCTGAATCCTTGTTTGCCCTTTAAAATTCCTGAGTCTCAGGTCCAGATCTGAGAAGAACAAACTGGCCTCTTGGAAATATAGGTTCCAGTGAAAGGCTTTATTCATCTCTATATTTATCGCCTCTTCTGAATATTCCCGAGGCTACTCCGACATTCAATCATTTCTTGAGAAGCATCTGCTCACATCTGCAAACATCGCATATTCCTGAAATGTGTGAATTATTGCAATGCCTCAGTTTTGACATACATCATCGTCTTTGTCTAGTGCAGGGGTCGCAATGATGCTCTTATTGGCAATGGTGGCATCAGTCAATGGGAGTTTGTTAGTTTATTTGCATTTACTGTACAGTCATACCTCAGGTTAAATATGCTTCAGGTTGAGCGTTTTCAGGTTACGTTCCGTGGCGACTCAGAAGTAACATTACTTCCAGATTTCACCTCTCGCGCATGCGCAGACACTCAAAATGACATCACACGCATGCGCGGAAGCGGCGAAATGCGACTGATGCACACGCAGAAGCACAGTCGCATGTTACATTCTACTCAGGATGCGAACAGGGCTCTGGAACGGATCCCGTTCGCATCCAGAGGTACCACTGTATAGTCCAGGGAGCCCTAGGTGGCATATACAGATCTCCTTCCTCAATCTTATCCTCACAGCAGCCCTGAAGGGTAGGCGAGGCTGACAGCGACAGCTTGCCCCAGGGCTGCCCAGCGAGTCTCGTG